TACATGTGCGATAAATTTGTAATTAACTTGTAACTATTTGTTATACCGTGGTCGCTAACTACCTTGGCTGTCCGTGCGACCGTTATAAATAAATAATATAATATATAAGACGCTGTTGTTTTCACGATCGAATTAGGGCCGAAGGAGGTTGAGGCACACCCTGTACATCGTTTCTCTTTACGCGTTAACCGGAATCGTTTAACTGCCACGCCAGAGGTGTTCGACTAACGTCCCGTTACGTAGGCGCGATTGCTCTCCTGGAAAGTCTTCCAATTAATGAGTACCAACGCGATAAACTCGTTTCATCCCCTCCACCCCACCCCACCCCACCCCGCCCCCTCCTCTTTACCCGTCCACTTTCTCAATTTCCCGCGACTCTATCAATCCGAGAACACCCGTTATTTCCCTTTTTCTTATTTCCCGCTCGTCTGCATCCCCCAAAGCTTCGATCCTCGCCTCCCGGCGCACCCCAGCGTTTACCAGCGTCGTCTAACTTCCGATTCACCGCACGCTCTGGGTCTTCAATTACGTTTCGTTAGGGGGCTACGATTGCTCCGCGGAAAAAGCCGCAATTTGTCGACTAATTAATCGACTAACAGCTCGCGAGAGGTTCGCCACGGAATTCGGAATTCCGCGCTCACGGCACCGAGAGGGTACGTCGCGCGACGAGAGTATCGCGCTCCGTCTCGCCAAGCGTAAGGCCAGATTCCGCTTCGCCGTGTTCCCGCGCACTTTGCTCGTTCCCGCAGCCTGCGTACGCGCTGGTTCCTAGACCGGCACCCTAAAAGCGCGACCCTCCGGCAGGTGGGACAATGCTCGAGAGGGGCGTAGTTAATATTAACGGCGCGCTATAGAGGTAGCGCGTGTTGTTCCTACGTAATTTCCTACTAAACGTACCCAGGGATGTCCATGCATATTTCAAACCGCTGCGGGTGGCCCGTGTGCCCCCGTCCATGTGCTCGTCTCCGAATCCGCGATGCTGCGAGGACGTCGATCTCAGGCTATGGACCAGCCGTTTTTCAAATTCATCTCGAGATGCGTCTCGTTCGACTACTTTTCTAGATAATGTCGGTGTCTAAACGAAAAATAAAGCACGTGGATTCGACGCCACGATCCTCGGATCCACAGTCGACCGCTTTTACCTACGCGATCAATCCCGTACCCTACGTTTCGTGTTCTTGTTTGACTCGTTATTGTTGGGTATTGTGAGGCGCGGATACAACAATAATGTAATAGCATCGTGACGGGTTACTTCGACCATCGTATACATGCTTCGCATGATGCTGCACTGCGTTGCGCATTTTGCAAGTACAGTAAAGACTGGATAAGTGCAAGATAATCGTGACACAACGTTGCAGTTATCCGATCGAGGTCTCTGTTCTTTGGCCTTTACATTTGGCCTGAGTTCAGCGTCGAACGTAGACAAGGACAGAGAGTGAAAGAGATAATGACCAAACATTTATTTGGTAATATCGAAATTATATAATTGGTAATATATATATATCGATTAAATGGTAGGCTTTAGGTTTTCCAATGAATTTTTCCATTATAAATGTGTATACGTGTAAAGTCTATTTATGTACATATTTATAATCAAACCTTCATTTAGAAACATCAAGCCTATCATTTAATTCAATCGAACTTCTTCAGTAGACATCAAGGGTACGAAATATTTATGGGATCGACTATATCGTCTCCGTTATCATAAATCTGTTGTAATCTAGCGTGCAAATTTTTAATATCTGATCGATAAAAATGGATCGGTAACACGGTGAGTTGATGAATAGTAAACAAGTATTGACGTTCGCAGAAATGACACTACCTTCTGGTTCCCCTGATATTTAAACGCGTAACGAGATCAACGTATTCCCGTGCTCGAAATTCCGTTTGAATCGGTGAAATAGATAAATTTGCGGGTACGAGGGGAAGGGGGGCAGCCGTCGATCGGGAGTCGCGGATTTGTAGCGGGTAACGAGCTCGCTGATCCCACGACATTTGTTTACAGCTGGATCCGCGGTATGAAATTCCTCGAGGTTCGGTCGAGTCTCGACGACGAATGTAATTACGTCTGATTGATCGGGGCGATATCCCCTCGCGCGCACTTTATTATTAATCACTGGAGGTTCTTGGATTTCCCGTCCGCGAAACATCCAAAAGGTTTTAGGTGTACTTTGCTGGATCAAAAATTCATATTTCGTCCGCATTAAATCCACGTATCCGCGAATTTCGTGATTTATCTTGCCATTCTACGATCGATTCTAGCAAGAGAGCTCGCGTAACGCGTTCAGTGGTAATTTTAAATAATAATTCAATCATTTCCTAATCTGTTCGTCGATTACAAAACCGCTTTGATTTTTCGCGAACGATTATACCGCGACGCATCTGCGACCGCGACCGCGACTGTAGAACCAGTAGAACGACGTGTTCCCCGATGACGGTCTCTCCGTCACGGACTTGTTTCACTATTTTATCAGGTTAGATATTCTCGGTCGAGGATAGAGCAACCGTTGACCGACGAAAACGAATTAAAGTGTGACGAGTCTGTCGTCTCGAGACACGTAGAGTCGAAACACGACCGCGCTTGCGGAGCATTGTTGCATCTTTGATGCGTTTCGTTGCACCGACGGGTCGCACAACCTCGTTTCGCGTTTCTCTGGCCGATATATTTTTTATTCGTCTGCATTTTTCGGTGGGACGTTTCGTTGTCATCGTTATCCGCTGCAAGTGAATCGTGCGAATTTTCTGGCGTCTAAATGTATAAAGACAAACGGAAACGGATGTCTCCTGGGCCGTTGATTCCACGGTAATTAATGCACGATTATTGCGAATTAAGCTAATAGATGAACAAACCACGCGTGATAGTCGGAAAACGAAACAGCGCGTCGGAGTCAATTAGTACGAGGCGTTAGTCGTCGTAGAACCGTGGAATCGAATGACCTCGTCGCTCACGCTCTATCTAAATTATTTTCTGTTTTTCACGTGTACTGCCTCTGCGGAGAACATAAAATCTGAGCGTTTTATTTAATGAATAATTCAACACAGTGAAATAAAATTAACGGTGCGAATTATTGAAAATGTTCGAGACCACTGATCAGCGGTGCAATATTTTCAACGAGTACAGAGAACTGATTTCCGTACGGGTTACCAAATGTTTGTTTACGTGGGCCACGTTTTAATCGGCTACAACTTCTAAAGCGAATGAAAAAGATGCCAGAATGATTGCCGAATAATTCCAGTTTCCGTGGAAATAGACCACAGCATTCCACGGAGAGGACGGTTAACGAACCGGCGATGTTAATGTCCGAGAACTTGGCGGCTAATCGACAGATTTCCGGACGGGCCCGTTGATTTTTTTTTTCCTCCGAGGCAGGTGAAATATCACGCCGCTAACGGCCGCTAATGAATGAAAATGAATGGGAAACGGCAGGGACGATGGTTCACCGGTGACACGGATCGCCACGTGATAACGCCCTGGAGAATACTTTATGGACGGTGTGCGCGAGACCATTTGTACGTATCGCGACAACGAAACGGTAAATGTTTCAACGAGCCGCGCCGTTTATTCTTTTCCAATTCTCTCTGTTTCGCTTGGTTAAAATATTCCGTTAAGATATTCACAGCTAATAATAACCTGGCGAAATCAAAGGATCGCACCGATCACGCTGAAATTTATTTATATACAGTTATACGATCCGATGGAAAATTCAACAAAGTTAACTTTTGATCGACAGTTTGCATAACGGTTCTCACCCATTCGGATATTGAATAAAGCTATTTGCGAATTGCAATTTTCGAATGCACCAAAGTTACTTTCGTCACCTCTGCTACGTATTAGTTTCCGCGTGCAAAAGGTTCGTCCCGTAAATTGTATAAATAGACGTCGACGTAAAAATAGCGGATCGCGGCATCGGACGATTCGCTCGATTTAATCGAAAGACGTACGCGAGAATAGAGTTCGCGCGAATGAAAATAGAAGCGCGAGCGCGAGGGAAACTAAATCGGACGAGATTTATGCTGTCGGAATAAAGGGATCGCGCATGGGCGAGGAGAGCTGAATTATCGCCAGCCAAACATATCGTTCTATTCATTGGCTATTAAGATAAATACCGCGCCTTACATTGCTCATTAAGGACTAAACGTCTTATTAAGGACTTGGTTCGTTTGGGACTACGGTTCCTGTTTGAATTTAATGGCGCAACTACGGAATGGCTTCCTGGGCCATTTCAGCAAAGCTCGTTATCTCGTTAACGATCCATTCATCTATTCCGAGCTTCATCAAAACGGCTTGATCCTGTACTACCGTTTCCTGTAAAGTAGCTAAGCGCGTTATAGGAGGCGATTCTTCGAAAGAGTCAATAATCGAGAGAGCCTTTCCGATAGGACGAGTTCCTGCACACCTGGAACTCCCAGATTTAAGTAAACATTCTCTCTCGCAAAGGACGAGATACGCCTTTTTGGCATAGGACGGTCCGGTTGCGGGTTCCTATCAGTTCGTAGAAAAAGCAATGCAAGATTTGTATCCGCGCTAATCAGAAAAGAAGCGGAAAGAGGACGGTCTGTACCAGCCGCGCGGTTATCGCTTGTTTCACGGCTATTTATTTTCTGCCTTTTAACGCGAATGCATGCGACGGATAGCTTCCTAAAAAATTCGAGCGACCAAAGGATAACGTGCACCGTCCCGTTGATTTTTCGCCTATTCCAAAAATACGCGAAACTGTCAACGTAACCCTATCGGTGATCTGTCTCCCTCGACTCACGTTCCATCCGAAGATTGATCTCGCCGGTGGTTGCAGGTCTGGCCCACGATAATGGCAGAGAGGCCGCGTTCCACGAGGATTCGTCCAACGATAGAGGAGGGTATCTTTTTTTTTTTTTTTGTTTTGTTTTGCGCGCGTCGTGTGTACGATAACGAACAAAATTGGAGAAAAACACAGAGACACGAGAGAAACGAAAGAAAGAGCCGGGAGAGGGAGGGCCAGATGAGAGAATGCAAGCCTCACCTGTGCTCTGGCCACCGCGTAGCTTCTGCTCTGGCCTCTCGACCCTCTCCTCGCTCGGGGGAGGTGGCCTCTCTGTCCTTTTCGTATAGTAGGGGTTGTACGAGGAAGGCCAGACGGTGGTCGGCCTTTTTGCTGGTGACGGTGTGCTCGATCGTCCTGAAAATAGATTAGGACCGTTCTCATCTAACCCAGCTATTCTCTCCGTTGCTTCCGTTCCCTCTCCTTCTCCCTCATTTCCCGCTCTTTTCGTTTTAAACGTGTTTCTTTATCGTTCGTTCTTTTTTTTTTTTTTTTTTTTTTGGTTTCTAATTATTTATGGATTCGTTTCGCTGTACCGTTCGACGTAACGACAAACGATTACAGGAGCGAGCCCAGAAGCAGGGGAAGTCGTAGCGAGACGGGCTGTAGGTTTTTAAAAGGTCCTTCTGCGCAAGTTATAATAGCCGTGTTACACTCGTTGTCTCTGGTGCCAGTTCTCGCGAGGTCCAATTTTCCTAATCGCACGAATCCAAGAACCCTGGAGGCTACGGTTCCTGACGTTTCGATAACGCTCGCCGATTGAATTGTCAGCCGGATTCGCAGGACCGATCGAACGAAGATCGTTAACCGTGACGCACGGATTCCCGAGCACGCCGAGGACGAATTTCGGGAGAGTTTATGGATGCCAGGACTTGGAGGGCCGTTCGTCGAAGAACTTTATAAAAACGTGTTAAGAGAGCTATCGTCGGGCAGCTGTCGGAGAGCACTCGAGAGAGGGACTTAAAGTTTGAAAACTGCGAAACTACCGAGCGAGTTTTATTCTCCGCCACCTGGTGATCGGGCGCGTTCACCCCCTAACTTTGTAATTTTCATTTTCATCGGGCGGAAAGTCGTTCAGAACCGATCACGAACCGTCCCGCGATATCTATCGAACGAGACGCAACGGGAAAGGTCCAGGTACCGGGAGTTCTCGACACCTGTGCACCAGGTTGCGTCCCCTGGAGCGAAAGGTTTCGGAAAGAAAGGAGACGTAGGATTTCTCGAAGGTGGGACCTGTAGCGTCTTAGATAGGACGGTTGACGATTCGACTGGCCAAATGACAATTTAAATAAGAAACATGCCTTTGAATTCAGAAAATATTGCAGGCGTGTTGAGATATTCATGAAAAAAAGTGTCGGGTTAGGTTGTGAATCGACACCTTCGTATATCGTTTCACTTGACTTTGAAATTGTTGCCGGAACAAGGACTTGTTCGGAAAGGGTATAATCGAAACTCTTGATTAATATAAATCAGCCCTTTTATTCGCATGGTGTTAATCGTGATTGCTGTTGATTTACTGGTTTCTCGATACGCTGTCGCATGCGTAGTTACAGCACGATCATAATTCGGCAAAAGTCGTGCCGAATCGTTGATCGCTGACAATAACGCTGGTCACCCTGACCATCGATGAGAACAGGTGTTCGCATGTAAATTTAAAACTAAACAGGTTGGAATCGATCGTTTCTCTTGCAAAAGATACGTGGAAGCTCCAACGCCAGGTATATATACGCGGTGACGGATAATTGTTCATGTACTTGGCGTCGAGACGCTACCGCGGCGCTAGATATGGGCGTCGACGCACGAAAAAACATACGAAGTATACAAAACTGTTAGAGTTAATATAATTTCAAGTTTATCCCGCGCCTTTGTTCGAGACCAGCCAATCGATAGTTCTGCCAAACTCGATTGTCTCGGTCGTTATTCTCGCGCGGAGTACGAATTCGGTTAATCATCGGAGATTCGTGGACCGAGTGACCACCGGGGGTGGTTCCACTTTGAGCATATTTCTAAAGGAATTTTTTGTTTGTTTTGGGGACCTAAATTCATTTTACATGTTTGGCCATTTAATCCGGGAACATCCATATAGAAAGGGCACCGGACAATTTTATAACAACGAGTAGATTCGACTACCGCGGTGTCTGCCACCGTATTTCGATTTCGTCCGAAATTCTGTCATTCGGCTGCAACGTGCGTCGCGTCGGATGCACGCGCATTGTTTCGAGAGGACGCGTTGCAAATGGTCTCTCGCGCTGCCACGCTATTTGATGAATTCCGGCAGCTTCTTTGAAAACGAGCCAAGTTCAACTTGTTGCGTCCGATACCGCCGCGGCGGTCCCATCGAGCCGTTCTCTCGCCGGAGCGCGAGAAAGAGGATCGAAGTGTTTCGATAGAAAGAAAAAAAAAAAAAAAGCCACGAAGAACCGATTCGATTCCATCGTCTCGAATCGAGCGACCGTGAGACGTCTCGCGTTGGACGGGATATTCCGTTCCTTCTCTATCGTTTAAAATGTTTTCGGCCAACCGGCGCGACGTTTACGCGAATTTAAGTAGAAAAGCACTTCCTCAAAGCGTCTGAACTACATCGAAACGAGCGCAATTATATAATTAAAATGTTTCAAATATACACGAATACTCTCGCCCGTTTCGGGACTAATGGCTCTCCATAATTAATGGCTTTTAAATGTTTTCCGAAAAAGGTACTCGCTTTCGGAGTCGGTTACATCAAAAATGACCGGAAATGGAAACGTGCTCCATTAGAGGCTATCTCGTTTCATATGATCATACGCGATGCATTATATCGCCGAACTAAAATTCTAACAAGTCATCGATCGAGCGAATAACTTGACCGGGCGTAGGTAGAATTGTTTTTTGGAAGCTGCCGACTTCAGCGGCGAGGAAGGGAAGCGTTTTAGACGAGCGCGAATAAATTTACCATGGAATGAAAAAGGTATTACCGTGTCGAGATTCGGGCGCGGATACGAGCGAATTTGAAATTCTTTTGAGGTGAACGCGGCCAGGAAACCTCGAGCGTCGCCGAGGATTTAAAGTTTCGGCCATGTGAAATACGCTCCGCGGATCGCTTGAAACTTGAGTTTCTTTAAGGATGCGACACCGCGGTATCGAAACTTGAACGGAACACGACCTTATCGATACTCCAACTGTTTTCAGAATCGGCTCCTCTCGATTCTCGAATAGATCTCCGGAGCTCGTTCTTTAAACGGGCGGAACCCCTGTAAACATCCCTTTGGCGCAACACGAAAAGGCCAAGTACACACGAATGTATTAATGTGTAATATTTACAAGAAACCTGGAAACGTCCAACCTCCGTTTCCATTATCGGAAGCCCGAAGCAATCTTTGCGCAGGCCAGATTGAAACTTTGCTTGGACGGTAATTCTGTATACTGTGCGTCAACCGAGGGTGCAATTCGAATTCATGCTCGACGCGGGACCCGTATACCATTATATAACATCGTTACCCTTTATAGACAGTCGCGACCCGGTAAGATGACTCGCCACTTATTTCTAGTGCCCATAATCGAGTGGAATATTCAAGTCGGTCCCCCGTGTGCTGTAAGATTGTATAACGTGGAAAGTTTCCGCGAGAGGTAGCTAACTGTTGCAAATTTTTGCGAAAAGTACCGACCAAACAGGTGCAATGCCAGTCGAATCTACGGGACACGCCTGCAATTCCCATTAACTCTTTGAAGTTGGCTGGGTTAAAGACTTATCCCACCTTAGTTTTGCTATTTTATTTAAAGTTTTTCATCCATGTGCCAATACTAACGTTAAAAGTACAATAAGTGGAAGCAGAATTGTACGCATATAAGTCGAAAGGCGTTAGGAAGTTGTCGACACTGTTCTTCTCTGCGGCTTCGATCTCCTTTTTCTTTTATAATAGCGTGCCTCAAAGAGTTAACGAGGGGTCTTCGACCTTAGTACCGTTTATAAGCGTCAATGGAAAATGTTATCGGACTATCCGGAACTTCCTTTGTAACAGAAACACCATAAACATGCGAAATATAGGATTCTTAAAGCGCGTATTTCCTTTTTAGCGCTAACGCGAAATTTCGTAAACAAGATGTTTTTCAGTTATTGAACGTGCACAAATCGAAAACCGTACGTGGTACGGTGAAAGAAGGAAAAGGAAAGAGTTTATTTATTTGGCGAACGACCGGAGCAAAAAACTGCAATTTCCGGTGTTACCGTTCGCGTTTCCTTTCGGAGAAAGAAGACGTCAGATGCGTCGATTACACGTGAGCGAGAATTTCGCGAAATTTTCGCTGGCTCGTTAACGATTTCCCAAAAGCATGTCTGATCAGACACCCCCCCCCCCCCCTCCCCCCAGGAAGCCGAGACATAACTAATTCCCGTCGCGAGACGAAACTATCGCGACGAATAAGAAATCCCTCCACCCTCCGAGGCGAGGTCCAAAAATAAACAGAAGGGAGCAACATCTTCAACCGCTTTTCTTCCTTATAAACTCGAAACAGTTGATTCGGTCTTGAATCGGTTTTTTTTCTTTTTTTTAACTTACATTCATCCAGTTGTACACGTCAAGTTGAATCTCTTGATTTTGTTTTTCTTAAACATCCCAATTCGCGTTAAGAATTTTGCTCGACACGTTGACCGCCGTGCCATCCATAGCATGGGCGACGGTGCTTTTCACCGAAGAACAAACAAAATCAATTGCGAATGTTCAGTAACGAAGGAAATAAATTTGAATCAAATTCTTAAACCTCAACGAATTTATACAAATAAATACCACAACAAATGCTTCGTTATGTAGCTTCCGATAGTCCGGAAAGAAAACTTAATCACGATAGAAATTTTCAAGAGTATTAGTCCGGCAGTCGACGTGTTAATGATTTCTGGAAAAAGAAATATGGAAAATCGTTCGTCGTCCCCTATGAACCAGAAGGACACGCTAATTCCGTTCGCAGCTAACCGATACCCACCGAGTCCCGCTGCCCTTCCCGGGACATCCGTATCCCCGTACGGTGTCCGTGGCCCTCCGAGGCGCGCGGAAGTCTACCGTTCTTTCCTTTCCAGTTGGCAAACAACCGCGACCCTCGAAACCGTGTAACGAGAGCGACGAGGGACGATGACAGCGGAGGGTACTAAAAAGTTTTCGAATAAAAGTTTAAATACGCCCTGGAAAACTTTGCCGCGCAGCCTTTGCGCTCCCCGTCTTACCATTCTCCGCCGTTCTCTTTCTGTTCGCGACAATATGGCTGGCCCTGAGCTACCATCTTCGCGCCAAGAATACGGGCCATATTCTCGCCTACTCGTGTACAAAGAACGCGACGCTCCTCGCGTGTTTCCTTCCAACGGGAGCCGCGAGCAATCGCAGCCAGCC